TGTCCGTGTTTGGTTAGAGTGGAGTGGAGCTGTCAGCCTGCCACAGCAATGCCTTTAAAGGACTGTTTCACCTTCCACAGATGAGTATTTTCACTGCCTGGATCAGGCCAAGGTACCAAGAATGGAGTGCTGAAAGTTCTTTATGTATCTGATATGTGATGCACATTTGGTTTTAATCAAAATCCCATTGAAGCAGGCAGTCAGGATTTAGAGCATAGGATTACAAGTAATACTGGGTTATTATTAGTAATCACTTTTCATCATGCATTGCATTTACAAGATACAAAACAATCCCAGCAGAAATATACTAAAATACATAATTCCTTTTATTAAAAAATCAAATTGTCCGAAGTGAATAAATCATGTAGTGCGGTAATGCGCGAAGACCTTTAACTTGCCTTCATTTATGTTTCCGATTAACTCAAACACAGTAGAAGACAATAGTTGCAACCTTACATTGGGCATTAAACAACTGTACCTTAAGCATACAGCAGTCACGACACAATTAAGCATATTCTGACTTTTTGCATATAAACCGGAGATATTAAATCCCTTTGTTTAATAAGAAGATTTTGAGCAGGTTTTTTGTTGTTGTTGCCAGGTTTATGGAGCGAAGGCCAAAGCCTGTAGACAGATCCAAGTGGCTTTGTTGGGGCAGACACCCAGGTAACAAATTGTATCCTGCCTTTTGGAACAAGTTCTGACATCACTTGCACCGGTGCAGCCAGGGTTATTCATTTGGGCTAAGCAAATTAAAAGGTTCTGCTTAGCCTCTCCCTTACTTTGCTTTTATACTGTCAGTATAATTGAAGCTACTCCTGGTTTCTAACTCCACGATGGGGAATTGCATCCAGACAGCGTGTAGTGACGCATCAGAATAATGGCGTAGATGAAGGGCTAATATTGAATTCGGCGGTTATACTAATGTGCACCTGTTGAGGATCTGGTCCAGCGAGATGTGCGCAGGCGGCTGGCGAGCTATCAAGGCCTCGAGACAGCGCAGGCTGGATCCTTAGAACACACGGAGGGTTCCCGTGAGGTTCCACGCACGTTAAAATTGCGGCGAGGAGGGACGTGCTCTACCCCCGGCGGGACGCGGGTCCCGCTCCACGCAAGCCTGCCCCGCGCGCGCGACGCCGCTGCATGGCGGCTCTTTCCAACCATCCCTTTCGCGTGTCAACAGAGCTAACCGCGGTGCGTCCACCGTGCGAGCCGCGAGGAAAGGGTGGGGTGGCTGCGTACGTGTGCGCCGAAGTGTCGCCGCTGCGAGAGGCGGCGTAAGAGGAGGTTCGTTTGCTTGGAAGGAGCAGACGTGCAGGGACGAACCAGCGGAGCGTTGCTAACTCCCGAGGTGATGCAGTTGCTCACGTCCCTCCGGAGCGGAGCGGAGCGAATGGAGGGGTCCTGTGCTGGGGAAGGGGGGCTGAAAGGTGGGCAGGGATCGAGTTACACAATGGCGGGGGGGGGGGGGGGCCCCCCGCCCCCCCCCCGAAAAAAAAACTGCCCTCGCAGCCGCTTCCAGCCGGGGAGCAGCTGAGCACAAAGCGGGGGGGTTATTGACTTTGGGTTCCCCTCTTTTCTTTTTCTTCTTTCCTTTTATTTTCCCCCGTATTTCTTCCTGAGGTTGGACAAAAATCTTAACACCTTGGGAACAGACTAACATTGGCACGGTAGTGTGTACTGTTCAATTTAATGGGATCTCTTGAATGGAAGTGGAAAGAAGGGGACGGTTCGCTCAGGGCTAACACTGCCTTTCTTTTTTCTCTTTACATGCATCGGCCAGGAAACAAACCCTTCTACTTCAGAGCAGCGTTTAACCTGTAAGGGAAGCTACGGAGAAAGTTCTTCCAGCAGGTTATGCCGAGCCTTTAGTAACGCATAGTGGAACTTCTTTGGGGTTTTTATTTTTGAGGGTTTTTTTTTCTCTTCTGGTGAGATTTCTAGGGTCCAGGCCAGCTATTAACAGAAAACAGGAGGAAGGGAGATTTTCAGGGAAAGTCTTATCCTGTAATGGGTATTCTTCTTGTGTCCCTAAACCTTCTGGCAGTGGCCTTAAAGGCATGACCCTGGAGTGGGCAAACCACCGATCTTCGAACTGTCTAATGATTCCTGTGCTGGTTGT